TGATGCAGCTGCCACCGCTGCTCCTGCCTTTGCTAGACACAGTAATGGTCTCCTTAATGTTGCAACTCATGGCGACAGCGGTGGGAAATGCAAGCAGAAGCCCAAAGCAAGATGCACAGCTTGATACGAAATCAGACTGCGAGCTGGCCCTGGCCGCCCATCCCTATTTATACCTTCCACAGTGGGTGTCACCTCTGCTTCTTCTTCCCATAAGGCTGGCTACTCCAGCCATTGGTGCCAAGAATAATTTCTCAAAGGGAAGTTTCCTTTCAAGAAGCCTGGTAGACAAGGAAGATACTTTACATGTCTCTTGCTAATTTCAAAAATACATTAGCAATAATGTTTTATGAATCATCAGCTTTTTGTTTATGATGCAAACTTACAGCGTTAAGCCAGGAAAAACACTGTCCTAAATTACATACCAGGAAGAAATCATTAAAGGTTATTGCATCAAAGAGGTCTTTATCTCTCATTAATTTATTTTCATTTTATTTTGAGTTGAATAAGCAGTTTTCATGCAAGGTGCTGAGGTTGGAATATGTAAGATGAAAAAGAAAGAAGAAATACTAAGTTTGCTTTTTGAGTGATGTATGAAGAATGATGTAAGAACTATGGAAAGATCAGAGACACAGAGATTAACCTTTAAATCTCTCCACTGCCAAGATGACAAATCTGTAACACTCTGCTGTGAGACAAGTGAGACCAAGGAGGGATCTCGTAATGGGCACGGATGAAAGGTTCTTCATACATGATTGTGGCTCTCCAGTAATCCACAAAGGATTTGTTTCATTATGTAGAGTGTGTAAAGGAAGGTAAAAGTGCTTTAACTATTTCCTGTTGTTCAGTGAAAGATAATTTCTGCACTTCTCCTCATTATGGATTGTAATTGTTGCTGGGAAAGGGTGGGTTTGAAACACTGGATGGGAGTGGAAACATCCTGTGGCCAATTTCTCTGTCAATACATGCTGCATTTTAATCAGAGCTTTGGGATTGCTGTCCTGGGACATATAAAGTCAGAATTGCTGATAGAGCTGCAGAGCAGTCACTGCCCTGTGTAGTTCTACCTGGGCTGGAGAAGCTGGATTTGGTACAAACTAGAGGCTCTCTATCAGTAATATTTCCAAATCTTAATTAAGCAAAGAAAATAAAAAGTAAGAATCCTTTCACACTCTTGTAATCAAAATTCAGGCTAAGCCTCTTTTCATGAGATGTTTTGCTGAAGTTCCAGAGCACTGGTCTTCTCCCTAGGGAGCCCCTTTCCAGTGGCCATGGAGCAAGGGACAGGCATTCCATGGCTTTCTGAACCCAACTCTTCCTTGTAAGAAATTCTCCAAATCTCCTTCACCAGGGAAAAGTGAGTTCAAACTCTTGCTGAAATCCTTAGTCAGTGTCAGGATTGTAGATTGGAATAGCTATTGTTATGGCAGGTAAATGATCTCTTTACTTAAGGACTGACTTTCCCCAGTATTCATGGATTTACCCATCACTTTATTGCTCTTATTCTTATTTCTGTTAAAAAGATGTCTCTCCTTTTCTTTGCCTCCTTGGATGTTCCTTATCCATGCCATGAAAGGCAGAAGCATTCCAGTGATCTCTCCAGCAGGCAGGACACAGGTGTGGAGAGGCTTCCCAAAGTGATTTACTCCAAGCTGGCCGAGCTGCAGCTGGACCCAACACAGTGCCTGCATGTCAGCCTGCCCTGCCTGTTTGGGCCTCCTTCTGGCCCAAAACACACAGAAATAAAGCTCAGGATAGGTAAAAGCTCAAATAAAGTTATTGTGTATAGGAAAGAATCACCAGATTTCATTCCTAGGACTGGAGAAGATAATTGGGAGTCAGGGTGTGGTGGCAGGAGCAAACCGAAACTGCTGAAAGCTGCGTCGCTGGAAGCTTCGCCTGCTCTGCGGATGATTCCTCAGGAATTTCCCAACAGCTGCGTGCAGCCAGCATCTCCTGAGTGAGCACACATTCCTTCCCCAGCCCCGCAGTTATCACCTGGACACATCAGTGTAGCTCAGGCAGAAACACGGGATGACTTGTGCTCCGTGGGAGTGGAGGGTGTCTGCAGGCTGGGGACGCTCCTGCTCCTCCGAGACACTCGGTCCCCTCTGCCCCTCACAGCTCTGTGTGCCTGCAGCAACCCCCTGTGCCCAGAGCTTCTCCTGCACACACTTCCCTCTGTTGTTATTTTTCCTGTTTGTCTCCAGGAAATGAGGGCACTAGATAAACCAAGACAAAACTAAGTAATTGTTCCGAGACCTTAAAAAATTAAATTAAGCTTTCCCTCGTGTTTTCATTCAGTTATTTGAACTCATGAGCTTCCTGGGTCTGTCTCATCAGCACAAAGAAATAGGAAAATCTTATGGAAATGTAGCTTCCAACGTTTGCAGCTCCATAATTTGCAGCTCTTTAATAAATGAAGTGTTTCCAGGGTGTTTTCTGCTGGGGAACTGTTAATCACAACCTGCCTCTCCTGAGCTGCCTTCCAGACTCACCCCAACTTGTAGGTCCACAAACAACATCAGAGCGTCCCAGGAACTGAGGCTGTACCCCCCAGGGGCTTTCCAGAGGCACATTCATAATTTCTGGATCATTAGAGTCTCTTTCTGGCCGTGTCATTAGTTCTCTTTCACCTCTCAGGAATTCAGGACAGCTCCTTTATGAAAGTGCATGCTTTGGACCTGCTGGATGTGGTGGGAAGGGTGGGAAGGTCTTTGATATGAGCCCAGGGAACCTGGAGGAGCAGCTAGATGTCAGTAGCAGTTCGCAAGAGGAGGAACCTGCCCACAGCTGGTGGGAATCAGCTGGGGCTGCCAGGAGAGACTGGGAAGTTTTTACATACCACAGGTAGCCAGGAGTTTCCAGAAGACTGGAAACTGGGAGAGTCTCAATGCAGTGTCTTTATTTGTAGAAACAAGAGTGTGAGGACTCAGACTGGGAAGGATTGAGGCCAAAAAGTGCAGCAGTGGGTTATGTCACTGTCTGTCTTTGCACTGAACAAGGCAGGAGGGGACAATGGGAATGGAAAGGGAAAGATTTGCTTTTCAACTTCTCAGCCAGATCTCTGAGAACAACTGGGATATCCACTGGAGTCCAACACAAGGAAATTTGCCATTATAGGCACAATTTGTATCTCTTTTGATCTCTTGTGAAGCACTGGCCATACATGTCTACTGAAAGAATTCTGCATCAAGTCTGGGACTTCATGCAGGGCTGGAACTGAACTTTAAATAATGCTTAATTTATTTTGGTTTAAAAACTTCTACCTTTGGCCACTCCTCTGAGTCATTGCAGGTGTTCCAGCGCTGCATTATCTTGTCTTGCCCATGGATACTATCAGTGTCTGGTAGATGAAATAAAGAAATGTCACTGAAACATCTCTCTGTGGCCTCTCACAACAGGAGAAGGGCACCTTTCACCTGCTCCCTGAGACATTAGTGGTTGAACTTCTTCAGGCACTTGCTCCCATGTTAAGTCTATTTCTGTTTCATCAGAGAAATTGGTGTCTTTATAAAAGAACTGGCAGTAGAAAAGTGTGCCACACTATACTGTATGTCCAGTCCTGAAGTGGTTTTGTCTTTGTACCTGTTCTCCTCCTGTCCTGAGTCTGGCTGTTCCATAACTCCAGCCTTTGATGGAAAAGGAATAACCAGGAGTTTTGCTTTACTGGGTCATCTCACAGGTGAATGTGACTCTGTAACAGCCACACCACTACCAAAACCACCACTGCTTGGCTTTCTGGACCAACAATTTAATCCTCAAAACACCCTTGTAACACTTTGAACTGCCAGTTCTCCAAACCCAGAGTGACTCTGCCAGCTCACCGTGGCCCACAGCTGCTCTGGCAGGTCAGGGCCAGGACAAAACCAGCTCAGCACCAGCTGTTGGTCAAGGTCAGGGAGGGACTGACCTGCCTGGTCTGTGACAGTTGGGTGGCTCTGGGTGTCCAAAGGCCCTACCTGGCTTTTTTCTCACTTCTGTTCTCTGATAAGCTGCACTTTTTCAGTTCCCACCCTGCCCTCTGCAGCTTCCCAGACAAGGTGTGTTTAACACAGAGATGATCTTTCAAAAACTCTTGATGTTCAGGTTGAAACTCTTGGCAATCAGAGAATGACCAGTAAATGACTCAGTCACTGTGTGAAAAGAGAGGAGATAAACCTTTTGCCTGCAGTCTTTTCCCAGTGTGAAGATTCCCATAGAATGAAAGGGATAGGTTTGGACATAAGCCATGTCAGCAGAAATTGAATCAGTTGTGGAGACCAAGATTTCATCCTCAACAGTCCCCAGGGTGGGAGATGGAGCATGAGAGTGCTCAGCCCAGATCTGTCAGCACTAGACTGGGACCAAGGCAAACTGTCTCTAGATGTTCCATGACTGACTTTCAAAATTCTTCTAAAACTGTGTTTCAGCCCAATGCTGTGTGGGAAGGACACAGGCCTCTGCCTGACATGTCTGTCCATGGGGGTCAGGGCAGATGTCACACAGGAATGGGCAACATCTGCCTCAAGCTGTGACAACAGGGAGGACAAGCTGGACAAGACCTGCCAGGTCAGCAAGGCCACTCTCTCCTGCTGGCAAAGCAGCTTTGTACCCAGTGCAGGATGATCCTGACCAGTTTAGGTGCCCCTTGCTCATGGATCAGCAGCTGGTGTTCAAAAGGAACTCAGTTTCAGACACAGGTTCTTGATTGCATTAGGCAGAAGCAAAGTTTTATTAGAAACATTTTTCAGCAGCAGGTACATAAGTGATCATAGCCCTGGCTGACTACGGCAATAGTCTTGGTGCTGGGCCACACACAGCAATACAGACTGAAAAGCAAATAGCAAAATAAAGCAGAATGTGGCTCAATGCTCTGCTCATCCCTCTGACACATTGCTTAGCATGGCTGAGCAACAGACAGCATGCTCCGTGCTCTCTGCAGACACATGCACTAAATATTCTCTCTCTTCATCTGTAGCTCTGCTTCAGGCTTCTCTTGTTGGATATTCTTGTTTCTCTGCTTAATCACAAATCCTTCGGCAAGGCACTGGAGAGATCAAAGGAAACATTACTGTGTTTATAGCAAAAATAGATTCTTTCCCACACTGTCATTCTCTACACGTGATCGTTTCACAAGCCAATTCAATTAGAATTTCAGATAAATACTGCCCCTTCCTGGGAAGATCTGATGGCTCCTGCCAGCCTGGCAGATGGATCTGTCACTGGCTGCAGCAGAGGCTGCATCAAAATGCCAAAAAGTGGAAGCTGCAGACACTGCTCCAGCAGTGATCTGGATGAGGGAATGGCACTGGGGTCCGTGCTAGAACAATGCCCCTGCTCACGTCATTCTCCTGGCCCATCTGTCACTATATTTCCTTCTTTCCTTTTCAGTTTGGCTGGAAGTTTTGCTTTGAATGAGGGCTGGTCGTTATCTGCCAGTATTCCCATGATTCCTGCCCTTTTTTTTGCCACCTGATTTGTGAGTACCTTTCTTTCTCCTCCTCCTTCCTTTATCCCACATTTCACATCAGTCCTTTCTCCACGTTCTCCATGGCTTGCCTGCCTGCTGGCTCTGTCCCTCTCCCTTCTATCCTTCTTCCCTCTGGCAATTCTCATGCATCCCAGCAGAGTCCCAGCTCCCAAAAGCTCTCCACTCAGCCACTCCTCTGTGGCTCCTGTCCCGTATTCCCCAGGGGCCCCACAATAAAACTTTCAAGTAGCACCTGTAAGCTACATGGGAAAGATCTTTCTTCCAGCCCATCAGGGTTGCATAGAGCAGAGAAGACTGGAAATGTTTAGAGTGGAACAGTTCTTACCTTGGATCTCCGCAGCTGCACAGGATGGGATCTGGGCAGACGAAGTGTAAGTGTGGCTTGTCCTAATGATGCCTCCTCCTCCTATCCCACTGCTTCTTGCCACTCCTCCTCCTAGACTTGAAGACTGACCAATTCCTCCTTGCTGACTGAGGAGACAGGAAAATAACATTTTAGTGACAGAAATAACAGATAAACTAGAGTTACAGATTATCAGCACCCCTGCTGCTCTCAGTCTGCTTCCATTTTCAGCAGAAAAATGTTGCAATTCTCTTTGTGGCACCAACAGCACAGGAGAGGAAGCAGTTCACCACCATGACACCAGGCAGGCCAAATAGGTCAGTAAGGGAGAATGAGCTCAGCAGGTCCTTCACTTTGCTCTTATGTAGAAATAACCAGGACACAGGAATTTTATTGTATTTTTTTGGTGTGTCTCGAGCCCACTTACATAAGGTCCTGCTGGCCACCCTCCAGCAGGCAGCGGTACGTGTGGATCTCCTGCTCCAGGCGGCACTTGACGTCCAGCAGGATCTTGTACTCTTGGTTCTGGCACTCCATCTCTGCCCGCAGGTCAGCCAGCTGCTGCTCCACGCAGGTGATCTGGCTCTGCAGCTCAGCAAGGTGGTTGTTGTAGCGACACTCTGTCTCCGCCAGCGAGGACTCCAGATTGTCCCTCTGAGGAGTGACATGGGACATAAGACAAATACAGGCAGGAGAAACACTGCATTTAGCTATGACTTCTGTGAGATGGATGAGGTTTGCACCAGCTCATCACCCACCTGGCTGAGCTGAGCTTGGAGATCAATTTCCAGGGCTTGCAATTGGCGTCTCAGTTCAGTCACTTGGTTGTTGCACGTCTCCACCTCCTGACCACTCGTAATAACCTCCCGATTCACCTCCTCAATCTGAAATCATCAATCCAGGATAAAGAGCTTCAGGCAACGTGCAGTAAAAGTTGGATCAAGTATGAAGGAAAGAGCAAAGAAGTTAGCAAAGACATGAAATGAGAAAGGTTTGGGTGAAAACTCTCCTGCTAATGGTAGTGTAAACCTGGCTGGTCATTCTTCTTGTTCTTCTAATAATGCTGCTTCCAGCTCTTCTCACCACTTACTGCTTTGTAGAGAATTCATACCTCAAGTCCCACCAACATGCAGTGCTTCCTTCAGCCCATGACAAGGACACAGGGTGGCAGTGGCTCCCTTATGTCACTTGGTCAGTGTCAACAAATACTAAATGTTCTTACAGTCTTTTGTGTGGCTTTTACATGCAACAAATCCCTGTGGGATGATTGCTTGGGAGTTAGCCAAGGAAAGTCAGAGCTGTGGGAATTATTTACTCACCTTGCACTCGTACCAATCCTCAACTTCTTTGCGGTTGCGTTCAATCAGCGTCTCATACTGGCACCTCATCTCCTCCAGGATCTTCCTCAGGTCTGGGCCAGGGCAGGCATTCACCTCCACGCTCACATCTCCAGTTGATTGCTTCCTCAGACAGCACATTTCCTGCAAACATCATCCAGATCAAGTCAGGGTTAAAATAAAAGAAAGAACTGAGGGAGCCAAGTTCAGAGCCCTGCAGGGCCCCTCTCTGATGGACCTTCACAGCTCCTGGGTCACACAATGGTCTCCATCACCCCGGGGTGATGGATCCCACAGGAGTGAATGCTTTGCACAGGAGAGGGCAGGACCTACCTCCTCATGGTTCTTCTTCAGGCAGCAGAGCTCCTCCCGCAGCGACTCCAGCTGTGCCTCCAGGTCAGACCTGCACAGCGTCAGCTGGTCCAGCACCTGGCGCAGCCCGTTGATGTCGGCCTCCACGCTCTGGCGCAGCGCCAGCTCCGTCTCGTACCTGCGAGGGAGGAGGCAAGAAAGAAAGAGCACTCAGTGTCTGACACCACCTGCATTTCTGAGCTCTGACAGGAAAAACCAAGACTTTCCCCTCTGAAAGACAGCACATGCTGGAACAGCAGCTTGGCTGAACCCTCACTGCTCCCAGTCTGCAGATCCCTTCTGCTTCCTTTAATCTCCGCTCTAAACCGGCTTGGCATCCCAAACTCCCCCTCCTGGAACTGCCTCTAATTAGACAATGGATGAGAGAATTCTTCTGCACAGCCTTCAGCCTGTCCTGGGTCACAGGAGAGCACCTCAGAACCCTGAGGGTGGTGACAGAGGAGGGGACAGCCCCAGGTACTCACTTCACTCGGAAGTCATCGGCTGTCATCCTGCTGTTATCGATGTTCAGAATGATCTTGTTGTTGTCTATGGTTGCACAGACAATCTGGAAAAAGAACATTGGTTCCTGATCTCAGCTCCACGTCCTTGGGCTCAAGGCACCCATTGCCTGGAGCAACCACACCCTCTTTCTCCTCTTCTGTTTTTAAAATCCTGGGTACTATGGATGGGGACCAGAGGAGTGCAGCACTCACAGGGATATTCAGGGAAGGGCAGTGAAATCATTAAAATTATAAAATTCATGGTTCAGGTGCAGAGAGTCCAGGAGGTGTAATTAATGTCCAGCACCTGCTACAATGCACCTCAGCCAATTAAATCTAAATCTTATGAGATTTAAAGTTTTATTTCAAGAATTAATGATGATCCTATCTTCTTCAGTCTCTTTCCTGGATTTTTTTCTCTTTACTCTTTGTCCCTTGACATCTTAAATCTTTGCCAAACACTTTTCAAAGATTTTGAATTTTAAATTGCCCATTCTAAATGTGTTATGGCCATGTTCTCTTTTTTCTTAGTTTTAATTAGATGTCCTATATTTCCCACTTCTACATGAAAGAGTAAACTAATTATGAAAAGGAAATAAAGTTTAACTGAAATTCTGCAAGACTATGACAGTAACATAAATTCAGGGAAATTAATGTGATCCATTATTTATTTATCTTTTAGTTCTCTTCTTCCCATATATCTATTTCACCACCTTGGCACAAACTAAATTCAAAAAGACTACTGAGCCCATCCAGATGCATTCCATGAAGTAACATTTTCCCCTTCAATATGTCTGATGAACAACAGCAACAGAGACAGCCCAAACTCTCCAGTTTTATCTCTGAGCTCTGGGCTTTCCACAGGCAGAAGTTGTAATAGCTGTTTGCAAAAGACATTTTACAGCAATGATTTTGTTACTCCTGATAATGGACCGAGTTATGAACCAGCACCAGAGAGAGCCTTGCAAGGGAGAAAGCAGCTGGGAGGGGATGTTACCTGGTTCTGAAGATCTTCTATTTCTTTATAATAGCAGCTGTAGTCTCGTGGCTCACAAAAAGGGCCCTGCTTGGCATACCACTCCCTGATCCTGCACTCCAGGTCAGCATTCTCTTGTTCCAGGCACCTCACCTTGTCCAGGTAAGAAGCCAGGCGATCATTCAGATTTTGCATGGTGACCTTCTCGTCACCAGAAAGAAGAATGCCATCACCAGCAAAACCACCTCCACCAAGACCCATCCCCATGCCACCTCCCATGCCACCGCCAAAGCGAGCACTGCCACCACTGAACCCCATGCCTGGGCATCCTCCGAGGACAGCGGCTCCTAAGCCACCGCCATAGTTTCCACCGACCAAGCTGCCGGTGCTCAGTCCTCCTCCATAATTCACACCACCGCAGTAGCTTCTCCCAGAAAAGCCTCGGCCACCGCCTATCCCGCAGGTGGTGTATCTTCCAGAGGAGACCGAGGAGATGCGCGCTGCGCCACCACCGCCACCACCGATCACACAGCTGCCACCGCTGGTCCTGCCCCTGAGAGAGCCAGTTGTCTGCTTAATACTACAGCTCATGGCGAGGCCCAGCTGCAGCGCCAACCCACAGCCCAAAGCAAGATGCAGAGCGTGATACTGAGTCCGACTGCAGGCTGGCGGCTGCTGCAGGTCTCCATTTATACCTTCCAAAGGGGGTGTCACCTGTGGGGTGTTTCTTCTTCCCACGGGGCTGGCTAGTCTGGCTGTTTATGCCAAGATTAAATAGCCCATAGGCAGTTTCCCTCTAGAAATCCCAGTTCACAAGGAAGATACTTTACATGTCAGCAGCTTATTCCAAAAAGTAAAATAGTGTTTTATGAGTCATCAGCTTTTTGTATGATGCAAACTTTGCAACAAGTCAAAGAAAAAGTTGCCCTAGATTATGTACAAAGAAGAACCATTGGTATTTATAACATCAAAGTGCCTTTTATCTTTTATTAATTTGTATTTATTCTTAGTCCAATAACCATTTTTATATCACATGCTATGGTAGAGCTTGTGAAACAAAAAATGGAAAACTAATAGAATTTCTCACTTCTGAAAAGTGTGAACAGTTGTGACTGTAGTAGAGAACAGACCATGAACACTGTGGTGTGGATATTGGTCACCTGGCACAGCTCTAATACCTGCTCTATTGTGAGGTTTCCAAAATCACTGAGGTAAATCCCCCATGGATTTAGTTCCCTATTCATGGCTTAAATGCCTTTAGTTATGCAAACACAAGAAGTCAAGTTGCTCGCACTGTGAAGCTCAGGCTGCTCAGTGTCCCTGTGCATGAGTGACACACGGGTTGATGTCAACTGCATGAAGGACGTTGCTGAAGTTATTTTTCAACTGCTTTAATTGCTGTCCATGCTGTCTCCATTTGTGGTGACGATAGATAAAGACAGAGATGACAGGAAAGGGAGTATCCACAGGTGATATATCCAGATCCCTGGATACGAAGATTGCCATGATGAAGATTGTGCTGCACACCAAATAAGAAGGAGAAAAGCTTTCTGCATTTCTTATGGAGTTTTTCTGAGCAGTAGCAGGTATCAGCACTGGCTGATCAGAGGAGCACAACCTCCCAACCAGGCCGGCAATAGCCAGGGGAGAATTCAGAGAACTGGCTCCACCAGTGCCAGTGTCCTTCTCCAGCCGCCGCTGTAATGAGAGGATATTCCGCTCTCCGGGGGACGACAGCTTCTGTTCCCTACAGCGTGGAATTTCCACTCAACTCTTACTCACAAAGCAGCCTTTGACTGGTGGATGTCCATATGTACAGGAGCAGCTGTGATAGATCCCTGTTGGCAGTGAGGGTGACACTACAGGAGCCCTGAGAGCAGCGTCACCTCTGGGAGGAAGAGCAGAGAAAACCAACGCTTGTACCCTCAGCTGCTTTTACCCATGAGAAGTTGGTGACTGCTGTCACCATGGTAGGAGAGTGTCCCCAAGCACATTTAGATAGGATCGTCTTCACACCAGCATGAGTTAAAGCTTTCCACTCTCCAGTGGGATAATTTATTTCTTTACCTAGATCAAAAATGATAAAAAGCCGCCTACCCAAGGCTGGCGGCATCCAGGAATATTCATTATTCATATGGTGCAGGGAAATAACTTGCTTAAGGACAGAGCTGAAGTCTGTCAGAGCTTGGATTCCTCCCTGAGACTGCAGTGCCTGAAATACAAGTCCATCCTCCCCCAAGACACAGCCCCTGTGCTCCCCACACAGCCTAGACTCATAGTCGGGAAAATCATGAACAAAAAGGAGGAGAGGGAGCAAATCTGGCTTTCATCCGTCGTTTTGAGGAATATAATTGAAGACAGGGTGTGGCTGTTGGAGCCAAGAGAAATTAATATAATGCTTGCTTGGAGCTTCGCTTCTGCTGGGGAGGTTTTCAGGAGTTACCCAAGAGCAACCTGCAGAGACGGGGCTGGGGGTGCCTTTCCTTCCCTTGCAGGGTGTTGGGTTCAGGAGGAGACACTGCACATGTTGGGCATTTCTCTACAGGTGGGCATGGAGCACCCACCCCTGCTTCCTTCAGCAGCTCTCTGATGGGAGGAAGGAACAGGTCTTGCTCCACAAAACAAACAGCAGCAGCACTGCACAACCTTTCACTCATGTCCTGGTGGAATGGTCCACAGACTCTCAAATCCCAGTTTACCAGCAAAGATTAGACATAACCATACAATTCTTCTCAAGAACTCATACTTGGGATGCAGTTACATTCTTTGGAGATTTTATGGGCTCCTGCCAATTACACTGGGGCATGGAACATGTATTTGATACAGCAAATGCCCCCAGAAGCTGCTCCCTGGCTAACCTAGTTGTATTTTAAACACAAACTGTGGTGTTGTCTCTGTCCTCATGGCCATGTCAGGGCTCCAGGGCTCGGCACCAAGACAGGCACAGGCTGTGTTCCCTCAGTACTGGCTTTTCCCCCCACTAAACTGATTTCTTTACCTCCACTTGTGTTATTACTCTATTCCTGTAGCCTTGGGACGCAGCCTTGGGGCAGAACACAGGGAAGGGACTGTGTGTGTCTAAGACATAAACAGGTCCCTAAAGGATTTACCAGCTCAGTGTAGGACTGGAGGAAACAACTGGTTTCAGGTGCAGGAAGCCACAAGAGGCCCTTGGCCAGGACAACCAGCAGTGGTCATACACAACATCAGTTCCAGTGCTGCTGAGACCTGTGGGCTTGATGGATGAGAAGAGAGAGTGAAAGAGGGGATAAAGGTGAGTATTGGTGCCCAGGCATGGAGAGGCAGGAGGATGCCACATTCCCAAGGGGTGCTGTGGGCAGGACAGTCTGGTCCTGTGGCTGTCCCTGTGCCCAGCCCGGCTCCACACGCTCACCTTGCTTTGCTTATCAAAGCTGATAATGTTTTCTTGTGTCAACTACAAGAAAGGTGTGTCTGGTTCAACAGAACTTTGCTTTCATAAGCATTGCCTCAGTGATGTTTGTGCAACCACACTGGAATATGATTTTATCTTGTCACTTGTAATTACCATTAATAATTTGCATAATGGCCATTAGGCATCACTTATTAAACTCTTTGATGTGATACTGAGCTGGCTCCAGGCCCCATACTCCCATCTTTCAAATGCAGACCACGACTTTTCCCTGGCTAGTGACTCATTGGTTTATACCACCATGTTTAGCCAAATCCTGTAAGGCAACTGCAATAATTACCACAGTGGGTTTGGTAACAGCACAGGCTTAAATACACCTTGGAGACCGACTCTGTTCCAGCTTCTTTCTTGCTGAGTGTTCACATCCGCACACTCTGAGCATTTGCAGTCCTGAAGGAAAAGTTCAGCAGGACATGGAGGTGGACACAACCAGGTTTCTTCCTACCAAAGTTCAGTCTCCCCTGATTCACTTGATGAAGAGTTTTAGATCCTTCCAGAACCTGCCAGGTGCTGACGGTGCAGTCAGGCCTCCAGCAGGTGCATCTCTAGTGGCACTGCAGGTTATCACAGCAGAGGAGAGACTGGAGAATTTCTTAGGACATATGGGAATAGTGATGGGTGAGGAAACTGCAGCAATTCCACTCTGCATGGAGAGCTGAGCACAGTGCAGGACAGGAGGGAAACCAAGGCTTCAGCCTGTGGTCTCTGCTGCAGAGGCACAGGATCAGGTCACAGCCTGACAACCTGGAGTTTCCAGGTGCTTCCTGCACTCAGGCATTGTCCAGTGGTGCAACAGAGCCAGGCAGGCAAAGGTGAAGGGCAGCCAGAACTCCCCAGACTGTCTTCTTTTATCTTCATATCATACTTGTGCTAAAAACTCTCTTCATTTCAATACACTTCTATTATGTGGCTCATACTGGCAGTTTAGGTTATATTATTCATTGTACTGAACTGAGAAATCTCCTGTTGAGTTACAGCAGCAGTTTGCTCATCTCTTGTAATTCTTTACAAATGTTACATAGCAAATAAACGAAAATCTAAACCCCACAAATAGTTACTGTGGGTGTAGGTCTGTACCTGCATACTGTATGAAACAGACTTTTGTAGAGAAATTACAGTTTATGCATCACCAGAATATGGCCTGCTTTTCCAAGTGCACTGTGCCTGTAATCAGAGATAATTGTCTGTGCCATGCAGTCTGGAACTCGTGGCTGATTTCCAGCATTAGTAATTTACAAAACTATTTGTTTTCTTCCCATTTCTTCACTGATCCCTTAAACCTCTGGTGTGTTAATTCCTCAGGGGTTTTTCCTGATGGTGGTGTAATTCCCATGTTCCAGCTCTCTTACAACACAGACACATCTGCTGGAGCTGACACTGTACATTTCATTGCCTGCTCACCAGCCCCAGTGCTGCTATCACCCCTGCCTCTCCCAGGGGCATCCCCCCTTGCTCTTTGTATCCTTGCGTTCCTCTCTCTGCCCTGCACCTTCAGCCCAAGTCTCTCTGTCTTGGAGTTACTTGTTTGTTCTTGCTTTGCAAGATTTGCATGTTACAGGAGGACAGAAGGAGCTCAGATGAGCTGCACAACCTGTGAGCTGCTGTGCAGTGCAGGTCCAGGTCACTCCTGTTCTACTGTTCCAGGCACTCCCCATTTCATTTCTTTTCCTTCCCCTGTCTCTTCCTGTGCTGTCTCCACAGCTGTCACCATTTCCCATCACTGTCCAGCTTATAAACACTGGGCAGGGAAGGCAGAGCTGTGTTTCTGCACAGATGCAATGCAGTGACCTCAGAGGTGCTGTGTCAGCAGTGAGGTGGGTTAAATCACCCCAAAATGCTCGGCATAATTACTGCTGCAGGAATGGGAGATGCAGAACTGAGCAGGGAAAGTAACACAGAGCTTGTCCAGGAGCTCATTAGAGCAATTACTGCACAGGGCTAACAAGTGTCCTGGACAGAGCCCAGGAAGAGGCCATTCCAGAGCTGTCTGAGCTGTTTCTCTCTTTAGAAACAGGCACTAATTCAGACTCATTGTGTCCCCCAAAGCCTGCTTGTTAGAAACCTCCCTGTCTAAGGTCAGTCATCAAACCCCATCCAACATTTCATGAGAGAAAGGCTGCCAGAGCCCCACAGTGAGGAG